AACAAGGAAATATCGGGACGGTCCCGATAAAATCGGGACGTCTGGTCACCCTAGCTGGTATCAATGAGCTTAGGCTTGAAATCAGATGAAGATTTCTAACAATCAGAGGACTGAAGTTCTGAAACAGCTTTTCAAGGGAAGCAATGGGGGCAAAAAATCTAACTTGTTTTAAGACTGAGCTTGATAAGCTTATGGAGGGGATGGTATGATGAGATGGGCCACATGCCACTGTAGGCAATCTGTGACTGCCAGTAGCAAATATCCCCAATGGCCTGAGATAGGCCAATAGAGGGAGAGGGTTTTGAGTTACTACAGAGAATTCCTTCATAGGTGTCTGACTGTTCTTGCCCACATGCTCAGGGTCCAACCGATGACAATATTTGGGGTCAGGAGGGACTCCCCCCTCCCCCCCCCAGGCCATATTGACAGAGACCCTGATGTGTGTGTGTGTGGGGGGGGGTTGGGACTCAGGTCACTTGCTGGTTTAAATTAGAGTAAACGGTGGATTCTCTGTCTTTAAACTGTGATTTGAGGACTTCAGTAACTCAGCCAGAGTTTATGGGTCTATTACAGGAGCAGGTTGGTAGTCTGCAAGCAGGCCGCAAGGCAGGTAGGGACGTGCTAGCTGCCGCTTCCCACAGCTCCCATTGGCTGGGAAAGGCAAACCGCGGCCACTGGGAGCTGCAGGCAGCCGTGCATGCAGACGGTCAATGTAAACAAACTGTCTTGCAGCCCACCAGCAGATTACCCCGATGGGCCACATGCAGCCCATGGGCCGCAGGTTGCTAACCACTGATCTAGTTAGAATGTAATACACAATGGAATGTGGAGAAGTAAATTCCCACACACGATGCGCCAAATTCTGTACACAGATGAATTAAGATATCCCAGTGAAGACTACATAATGTGCATGCATGCATACAAGGCCACAATTTGATTCATTTTCTATAAGTCTCAGTTAAAATAGACTTTACCTGGAATCTCTGCACTTTTACCATCCCTTTTTCTAAAAAGCAAGCTAATAAAGTAACTTGCCTACAACTGAGACTTTGTTCTTCATTCACATCAATGTCAAACAATACAGATTGCTCCTCATAGTATTTTGTACTGTTCTCCTATTCACATCACAAAGGACCACGTGCTAACAGACGTTCTTTCACTTGCACAGCTTTCCATTATAGTCTTTGCCACACAAAAAATGACAGCTAAACACCAGGAACATGCCGCACATATTAGCAGTAACTTATTTGTTCCCAAAATCTACCATAGTTCTCTCACCTCAGGTAGTGTCAGAACATCTTGTTTAACATCTCGTCGGGTGTGTGTCAGAATAAGAGCCAGTACCTCTACTGTCTTTCCAAGACCCATCTCATCTGCCAGAATTCCTCCAGGCCACGGAGGCCCTGCAACTGGGTGTTCACGGATAATGCTAAAGATTAAAGACACACCCAAACAAAACTTAACAAGTTACAAACTAGCGTAACCAGAAGAGTAGTATGTGTTCAAAGTAGCAGAGATAATGAATAATTTCTGCAAGCTACACATACAGAGAGAAATATGCACCTGTGTTTAAAAAAATTGCTTTGGTGACTATGTTTAAAAAGATTACAAAACAATAGCTTACATAATTTTCAAAAGGTTAAGATAAACAAAATCTGCATAAAGCAACTATACACTACAGTACACAAACATATTTACTTCTCACAAAATTCATAATTTGTTAAAGCAATACTAGTTACTGTACTGATCTATATTCTTGTCCAAAGATCAATAGAAAAATGAAAGTTTATACCGTCTCTTTGCTGTAACCTTTACAAACTTGGAACACAAAATTGAAGAGTTGTCGCCTCCAAGTCATTAATTAAAAAAAATAATGAATCTGTTACACTTGAATTAAGAAAAAAAGTTCTTACAGCGAATATACTGATGCCTTTAACCTACAATTTTCTTTTCCCAACCATGCCCCACATTTTCTTCTTTCATATTAAATATCCTACAGCTCTTATTCTGCATTTGCTAACTGAAAAGGCACAGTTATTATTTATCCAATTCTCTTCATGTGAAGGTTCCTAACAAAATTTTCACAAAGTGCCATGTTTAGGTGCTGCCAGGAACAACAGTATTCCCTCTACAAAACAAAATGAAAACTCACCAGCCAGTAAATGGATTATAGTAGAGTTTTACTCCATCTGGAGTGATGACCTCTCGCCATAGAAAGTGTAGTGTGTTTTCTATAGAGAAGGAGACCACATGAATATTACAAGATTTTTCTATCAATAATATAGTGCTCAGAACTGCTCAGCATTATTATGACATTTAAAGACAAACAGGAACCAAAAACTGGAATTAGCTCGCCTGTAACTGGAAGTTCTTTGACATGTGTGGTCCCTATCTGTACTGCACATGTGAGTGTGTGCACGCACCATGTGCCCATGTCCAGAAATTCTAACAAGCAATATCTGTTGCCCCGCAAATGCACAGTAGTTCTTCTCATGCTCCAGACTGAGGGTGTAAGAGGAAGTGCGGGCCAATACCTCTCTAGTTCCTCTTCTTACTGCAAATCCAGTAGGATCCAAACAAGAGAGGGGACACAGTGGGTAATGGAATTCAGACAGGGACTACACATCTCAAAGAACTTCCAGTTACAGACAAGTAACCTCCATTTCTTCTTCCAGTGCTTGTCCCTATGTGCATTCCATACAAGTAATTGAGAACCTGTATTTGGACTGGAGGAGGTGAGGAAGACAAAGTAGCAAAGATACTTGAAGTACTACAGTTCCCACAGCACTGCAGAGGACTAAACTAGCTTGTAAAGTTTTGTGAACATGTGAATGGAACTCTAGGTAGCCACTCTGCATATGCCCAGTAATGGTATTTCATCCAGGGATGCTGTAGAGCAGTGGCCCCAAACTGCGGGGCATGCCTCCCTATGGGGGTGCAGAGAAACATGCGGGGGGAGGTAGGGTTACCATACGTCCGGATTTTCCCGGACACGTCCGGATTTTTGGGCCTCAAATCCCCGTACGGGAGGAAATCCCAAAAAGCCGGACATGTCTGGGAAAATAGGGAGGGAGGGACCGTCGGTGCTC